CTGATAAGGTAGGCTGCAGCTGAGCTTTTTGCCCCCTTCTCCTCTATCAGCTACTCCCTTAAAACTGCCAGAAAAGATTTCACTGACCTCAGCAGGTTACCCCACCGACGGCTACTGATAAAGTGAGAAGTACCTGCACCCAAAATCGTTCATTTGTCATTGTTAGCCCCTAAACTACTATCCTCTCTGTCCCCCTAATTCAGAAGAAATCTCACCCCTAAGGAGACGGCTGATTTTATTTGTATACAGACTAGTCCTCAGTTGTCACTTAAATAAACTCCTTGGAGACTGGAAGGCTTCTCATCACAAGACAAAAGCAAATGACATGTATAAGAGAAGCCATAGAGCATGTTGCCAGTGGGTTCTAATGGGCTCTCTCAGACTGCCCCGTCTGCCAGTACCACTCTCCCTACATTAAACAGACTTACTTTAAGAAGGGAGAGAAATGATTCGTCTCCAGTTGTCTGCTCATAGATTTGCCAATTAGAAAGAAAAGATGATGTTAATATCCTTTTTCCATTAAAAATAAATGAAGTTATATCGCTGATGATTTGGAAAAGAGAGTTAAAAAATTATTTTAATCAACTACCCTAAGACAGCCATCAGTAGCCTTTGTATTTATTTCTTTGTGGTCCTTTATTTGGATTTTTTACAGAATTTTAATTTTATTAAGTTTTGGAATGGGTATCTTCCCATCAGCCCGATGGAGAAAATGATCACACATCATTATAAAAAAGAGAATAAATGCTCTGATGCCTACCACCTAATACCACTCACTACATGCACGCACTTGGCTAACATTTTCCATGTATCAAGTCATTTACCCTTCATAACAACCCACTAGTAATTGCTTTTATATGCTGAGCCCTTCTAAAAGATTGTGCAAATGACATTCTAATTTTCTCTTTTCTTTCCTTCTCTCACTCTCTCTTTCCCTAAACTATACTCCAGTTCATCTCTGAAGATATTTGTGGGAGCACCTGCCACCATACATATATATGTCTGCTGAAAAATCCTGCTCAAATTTTCAGAGTCTTAAGCTCTGCAAACATACGGATCCTACTTATGATCACTGTTCCTCTTGCCAACTTGTACCGTTATAAGTTCCCAGTGAGATCCTACTTCCTTGCCCTCTAAAACGTCCATCAGAAACTCTCTTGGGACCCCATTTTCAACCAATACTACTGTCTACCTTGGGACAATCCACAACATAATCCAAATACTTTAATGAGTATTGCTAACACTTGAACCATCATTGCAATTATTGACAGCTTGATATGAATGGTTGAAATAGAATTCCATTTGCTTGCTTCATAATTATAATAATATTTCTTTCTTTTTGCTTTATCTTAATACTATAATTTGGACAATTATCTAACAGAGTTCCTGGCAAGCATCTGGAAGATATCAATTTGAAAGAACCAAATGCTAATTCTCTTATTATAAGAGAATAATAAAATTTTTTAAGTTGCAAAATTGTATTCATGTTGAAAAACAACCAATACACATGTCCTCCACTATAAAAATGTCTGTAATTATTAAACATAATCCATACTATAGGAGATTTACAAATTGTGAATTCCACATAGAAATGTATTTTCCAACCCCCTGGCATCACCCCCAAGTAACATGCAGTTAATTCTGCCCTTGGGGTATCATTCACATTTAATTTATCACTGATCTGTTAGAAGAAAAACTGTTTCTCCTTAGGACATGTTCAAAAATAAAAATGAGTAGTATGCACTATGGAATGTACTCATTGTGTCCAGGATGGGAGGAAGAGATTTTTAAGAGAAGTCTTAGAGTCAATTATAGTCTTAAATCTGGAGAGAACAAAGACCATGCGTTACTGGAAATGTAAAACCCAAAACAGACTACCATTTTTCACTTTCAAGTAACAAATGTCCTTCTTATTCTGTTCTGCTCACTTAGGAGAAACGAAAACATATCCCTTTTCCTTTGTTTCTTTTTCATTAACTCTCCTCAAACTTCCCCAACGGGAAGAGATTCCCAGTCAACAGGGTAAGGAACAAGCCAGTAAGCATCGACTCACAAGATCTCTCTCTCTCCCTCTCATGGAGACCAAGGAAATGGGAGGGGAGGGGGCTCCTCTTTTCTTGTGTTTTTCTCCCCGCTCAAGACAAAATTATCCCCCCCTCGACTCTACTGGTTCCCAAGCTATTTGTTGGTTGTAAATTTCAGACCCTGTGGTCTGACAAGAGCACAAAAGGTAATTGGACCTGAGACATAATATGTGATGGACAGTAGCTCCTACAACTGGAACCCACTTTTATAGGTACAGGCAGCCACCAAGCTGTGTGGTTGTACAACCTCTGATGGTGGGTTCAAGTCATCAACCCAGGTGTTTATCCATAACACTGAGTGCCACGGATGTGGTTCAGCTGGATAGCGTTGTTTCCCAAACATGGTCCCATTTTTTTTCTTTCTTTTTTTTTTAAAATTTTTTATTTAAATTCATTTTAGTTAATATATAGCATATTATTAGTTTCAGGGGTAGAGTTTAGTGATTCATCAGTTGCATGTAACACCCAGTGCTCATTTCATCAAGTGCCCCTCCTTAATGCCCAATACCCAGTTACCCCATCCTCCCACCCACCACCCCCTCAAGCAACCCTCAGTGTGTTTCCTAGAGTTAAGTCTATGCAATGGAATATTGCTCAGCCATCAAAAAGAATGAAATCTTGCCATTTGCAACGATGTGGACGGAGCTGGTGGGCATTATGCTAAGCGAAATAAGTCAGTCAGAGAAAGACAAATACCATATGATTTCGCTCACATGTGGAATTTAAGAAACAAAACAGATGAGCATAGGGGAAGGAAAGGAAAAAGAAAATAAGATAAAAACAGAGAGGGAGCCAAACATGGTCCCATTCGTACCCCAAGATGGTCTGATGGGTTCTTGCAAGGTGCCTGCAAGTTGATTCAAAGTCTGAAACTTTTTCAGCCAGAGCTTGACTGCATCTGGCTTCTTACTGTAAGTTCTAGACTTTGAAACAGCTTGCAGGCACCTCACAAGAACCTGTCAGAGCATCTTGGGGTAAGAATGGGACTGTGTTTGAGGAACAACACGATCCTGCTGAACCACGTCCATGGCATTCACTGTTAAGATAAAAACCATGGGTTGATGACTTGAACCCAACCATCTGACATGATACTACATGTACCTACAAAAGTAGACTACCATTATAGTAGCTACTGTCCATCAGAGCAGGCAAGGATACCCATCTGATCCCAGAGCAGAACTTCTTCTGAATTTCTTCTACACTTTTTCTACAGAGAAGCAGAAAGGGAACAGGAATATCCATCCCAGGCTGGTGCTCCTCCCTGCTTGGCCACTAGCTAGATGCGAGGTGTCTAGGCCTCAATGTTTGCATCTGTAAAAGACAAGGGTGCATCAGACAATTTCCCAAACCCCTTCAAGCTCTAAAGTTTTATATTAACTGCCACTGAGAATCACATCAGTGTCTAAGATATTCCAACAAGGGAAAAGAACAGGGTCCTGGACCCCTGGATCCTTCCCCCAACAGAAAAGGCAAAACACACATGCAAAGAGGAGTCCCCTTCCCCAGCCGACTTTGTACACACGGCACTTCTCAGGCAAGACAATAAAAGCAGCTGTTGAAGGGGACCATGAATCTTCCCTGCTCTACATCCCTAGAGGCGAAAAGCATGTTTTATAATAAACATAGCTTGTTATGGCATAGCTCGTGACGCATATTTGTTGGATTAACTTCTTGAGATCCCTAAGTGTGAAACACAAATAATACTAGTTGTGTATCTTTTGCAATCTGGAAAACAGTAAAAAAAATCCCTCTTTAGGCAAGACAACATATGGGGAGCAGGGCAGATGCAGTTTCCTGAAGCAGTTAGCCAAGTGGTTTCAGATATGCCTTCTCAATGGAGAAAAACTTTCACTTATACCTGAACATTCCTTTTGAAGGCAAGGGACGTTCTTGGTTATTATCTTTTCCCACTCCTTATCACAGACTTACAATGAAAATGCTCATCCTTCAGGCTAAGTGAGAGATACACTCACACATACAGCACATATTATTATAAATATACTAATAACATTTTGCATTAACACAGAGGATGAGAGTACTTTACAGAAGATACTTCTAGCTCATTAATCCTCAGGATAGCGATGAAATAGCTGGGGGGAAAGGGATAGTTTGCCAGCTTTTCCAAATGACAGGAAACTGCACAATTTCAGCAGTTTTCTCAGATCCGTCCAGTGAGGCTTTTGCAAGGCCTGACCGAACACAGGAATGCTAACTTCAGGTTTGGACTGACTCCACACCCCTCTCATAGCCAGACTGAGGCCCTCATTTGCAGTGATTCGGTGTTGACTTCTTCCACGCCTCTCATGCACCCTGGAAACTTCTAGCACCTCTGCTCAAGGCCATGGGAACCACTGTGGAGAAAAGCTGAAGTGGCTGCTTGCTCACAGGCTCAGGTGGTTTTCTCCAGCTTCTTCTCCACTCCTTTACCTTCTGCTTCACTCCTCTCAGTGGGGCCATGGGCTTCAAATCTGCCTCTTGGCTGACCTTATGGTTTTTACCCCCATTTATTTCTTCCTTTCTTTTTTTTAGAAACCATCTTTCTTTCTCCCCCCCCCCATTTCAATTAGATCATCTCATTCCAATCTCACGACTTCATGTTTAGACTTGAGGGCTTCTTAAAGACAGAGCCCCTACGACACGGCCCCACCTCCTCCTACACTCAACCTGCCGATGCAGAGCCTTGCCTGACACTTGGGTCCTCAGAACATCCCTGGCCATGACCCCAGGGTCCTCCTTGGCCCACAGACGAAGCTGGAACCCACAGGAATCCACCAAATTGGTGACAGCAAAGCCTGGCTCCCTTAGAAAGGCAATAATAGCTCCCCACCAGGATCCCAGGGTCTCCCGAATGTTTCCAGGGAAACCCTGAAGAGCCCCTTCAGCCCAGCCAGGGTGATGCTGTCAAGAGGACGTTACCAGGAGGGCTGTGTAGGTGTAGGGATAGTGGTAGGCCAGGTAGCAGGCATCCTCATTGTGCGGGAAGGTGACCACAAAGGTGAGGGTATAAAAACACTTCTTAGACGCTCCCCCCATGACGGCTGCACTCTGGCGATAATGATTTCTAAAAGAGAAAGGAGAAGGGAGAATGAGGGAGACGTCCCAGATGCTATAAACCTGCCATGTTATATACTGGCAACATGTTCTTCACTCGAAACTCTATGTGGGTGAAATTTAGAAAACAGGGAAACTGCCAGGTCATGAGCCAAACCAGCAACATCCAGGCAGGTCCATCTGTCTCTTTTCTTTTTTTTTTTTTTTCTGGAGGGAGATGGAGAGCACACACAAGCTGGGGTGGAGGGGCAGAAGGAGAGGGGAAGAGAGAGAATCTCAAGCAAGCTCCACGCTCAGTGCGGAGCCTGACACGGGGCTCAATCCCACGACCCTGAGATCAAGACCTGGACCAAAATCAAGAGTCAGACACTTAGCCAACTGAGCCACTCAGGCACCCCAAATCCATCTGTCTCCTAATGGTGGCATATATGCCATAAGCCTTTCCTTGCTGTGTCTGAAAATGAAGCCTACAGTCACTGAGCTATAAAACACAGATATGTGAATAATTCTGTGCATCCCAAGATGGAATTGCAGACATACCCTTTATTACCCAAATGTGGGTTCCCCCAGTCCCTGCCTTTCCCCAGGCCCCACAGAGTTCAGCTCTTCCTTTCCCTTCTGCCTGCCAAGTGGTTTCGTTAATAATCATTACTACTACATACTGAGTTCCAACTCGACACTTAACACGCATCACCTTATGTTATTGCAACAGCCCATCGTGTGCATAAAGAAACAATAGCTTAGGAAAATTAATTTGTCAAAGGTGGCAAGGCTAGAACGTGGTCAGGATGGGACTCAACCAGATCTGCCTGTCTGCGAAGACTTTGTTCATTCCATTGTACAATACTTGCTTCCCAAAGGAATACATTTGTCACCCCATATGTGGTTCAGCTTCTTATAGCCTCAGAGTGCACATTTTCCTTTGTCAAAGATGAAGAACCAATTTTGATACTTCAGAGAACAGTATCAAAGTAAATTGCACCCAGAAGTACATTCCGAGCAATATTTTGCCCATACACTGCCAGTTATGCCCGCGCCTTGGCTGTTGATGCAGAGGCAACTGTGCAGGCTTTTCCTGAGAAATGTTATCATCAAGACTGCATTACAATGCAAAATACGCCCCGGACACCAAAAGATGTAATTCCACCTTTGAACATTTACAATGTTGGCTTACTTGTCCATGGTGCTTTGGGGTTTTATTGGGGGAAAGGCTGGGGAGAGGGAAGAAATAGCAGGTAATGAATCTCTGCTCTTGCAAAATGTAAAAAAAAAAAAAAATACAGATTATTCTTTTCTGCCTTTTTGCTACCTACATGCCACCCCCCCCACCAAAGCAAAAACCAAACAAACAAACAAACAAACAAAAAATCAGGCAAGCAATAAAGGAAGAAACAGAAAACAGACTGTCTTGTTTCTTGTGGGTTTGTGGGCTTTCAATATTAATAAAACTAGGAATAGCAGACCCACAAACTATGGCCTGACACATTTCTCTTGCCTCAGCTTCTGCCAACACAGCACCCTAGGGCCCTGGTCATCGTAGGGAGAGATACCCCCTAACAATGTCAGCCCCAAGTGATTCTCCCTGTCACTTTTTAGATCACAGGACTAGGACCCAATTTCCTCTGTGACTCCAGCACTAGCAACTTCAAAAAGGCATCTTCACCCATGGTGCCATCCGGATCTTGATACCTAATTGGATCTCCTTTCTCCATATTTCCCCCAAAGTTCTGTACTTCTTTAAGAGCTAAGGGGGCTCTGGTTACTAGAAAGTATGTCAAGAAGCAGATGGTAGCTCAGAAAGCATGCAAGCCACATAGGCTCTACCTTTTATTTTCTTTCCAATTTCACTCATAAAAGGCTCCCCTGCAAATGCTCATCCAGTCGACACCTCCCTGAACAACAGGAACTGGTCAATTACACCTCTCTACACTGACGACCCATGTGACACGAAACAAGCCAGTCAAAATGGTCAAGGTGTTGACCGCCAACCAAAATGTGGAAGAGCACTTCACCTGTAAGCACACACGCGAGCACACACCTGGGTACACGCCCCATAGATGCATATTCATGAAGGTAAAGGCAGGTGGAAACATAACACCTAGGGCCTCTCCATCCCCAAGTTCCTCACCCACAAAGAGGGGACACAGAGCCTGCATCCTTCCTCAGGTATAAAAGATTTCCCTGAGGGCCAGGAGGGTGGTCTCCTTTGACATGAGCCGTGCTTCCTGGTCCACTTCCCACTGTGCCATTAAGTACACTGAAGTCACATAACAGGGACATTCACCGTAAGCACATTCAACCTTACCCCACCAGTCATCAGAGTGAGCAAGAAAGGAAGAGAAACCAAGAATGTGAAATCCCCATCCCTAGGCTCTTTCCACCATTCAAATCAAACCTGGACTCCAGGGAGGGAACAGCTTCAGTGAAATGGAAAGAGAAATAAAATAAAAGGATTCTTAGTTTTGGAACTTCTGTGGACCTACGTTCTACTGATTTAAGGGAAGAGTAAGGAATTTGAACAGCTGTTTCGGTTGTATGAAATCCACGTTCTCACAGCCCCAACACACACACACACACTATAGCTTGGTGGGCAAGAATCTTGTGGGCAAGACTAAAAGCTCCTCACTGGGGCACCTGGGTGGCTGAGTCGCTTAAGCATCTGCCTTCAGCTCAGGTCATGATCCCAGCGTCCTGGGATTGAGTCCTGTATCGGGCTCCCTGCTCAGTGGGGAGCTTCTCCCTCTCCCCTGCTCATGCTCGCTCTTTCTCTCTCTTTCGCTGTCACAAAAATAAATAAAATCTTTTAAATAAATACATACATACATACATACTCCTCGCTGGTAAGCCAGCCCTCCCCAGGATGGTTATGGACCACTGGGATTTAAAAATGGGTAACACCTCATCGATGATGAGGTTCTGCTAAAGGAGATTCCATGACAACCCTAGTCTGGGGTCAAAACTCTAGCTGAGCCTAAAGCAAATGTCAGGCTTCCCCACTGGAGTCTCCTGGGGGCCGTGCATGGGGAGCAGGAAAATCCAGATGACGCTACCAATAGCAAATAATGCTCCTCTTCAGGGACCTCCATGCTTTCCCAAGATCACCTTCTTCAAAGTGAAATGTTCGATAAATCTCTAAAGTAAATCCTTTGCTTACAACAATTTGATTTGTCCACAGTAAAGTTATATTCTTTTTTTTTATTTTTTTTACTGTTATGTTAATCACCATACATTACATCATTAGTTTTTGATGTAGTGTTCCATGATTCATTGTTTGCGTGTAACACCCAGTGCTCCATTCAATACGTGCCCTCCTTAATACCCATCACCAGGCTAACTCATCCCCCCCTCCCCTCCTCTCTAGAACCCTCAGTTTGTTTCTCAGAGTCCATAGTCTCTCGTGGTTCGTCTCCCCCTCCGATTTCCCCCCCCTATTTTTCCCTTTCCTACTATCTTCTTTCTTTTTTTTTAACATATAATGTATTATTTGTTTCAGATGTACAGGTCTGTGATTCAACAGTCTTGCACAATTCACAGCACTCACCATAGCACATACCCTCCCCAATGTCTATCACCCAGCCACCCCATCCCTCCCACCCCCTACCACTCCAGCAACCCTCAGTTTGTTTCCTGAGATTAAGAATTCCTCGTATCAGTGAGGTCATATGATACACGTCTTTCTCTGATTGACTTAGTTGTATTCTAACAACAAGTTATTTGTGTTTCACCAATTATGATGTGAAAATGCTGAGGGATGTTTGCAAGGCAGTAACATTCATCCTTTATATTTTAAGTGACTCCCATGGTCTTCCTTTGTACCAAAAACCCTTTCCTTCTACCTCACTCAGACAACTCCTTCTGCCTTCAAGCCTCAACCCAAGGGTTTCCTCTTCCAGGAAGCTTTCCCTGATATCTGCTCTTTTACCTAGTTCTTACCACACTCTGTCTCTCCCTCACTGCTAACCCTTTATGACAGGGATTATGCTTATTGTTTTGTGTATCTGGCACAGAAGTTGGACTTAGCAGCTGTTCAGTTAAAGTCTGTAGAATAAATGGACTCCAGGAGTAGCAATTAGAACACCTAAAGTATTCCACCTCTAATCCTACTGGTATCTTTTTAAGGTTAAGTGTTACTATACACACTCTACAGATGGGGAAATTGAGGATCACGGATATGATGCAACAGAAAGCACAGCAAGTAGGATCAACCTCACGAGTGCGCTGACTCCAAAACCAAGATCTCTTTTATAATATCATCTGTGTCTTGGAAATGGATAAGATGACAAGAAGTGTTTTGGCCCAATTTAGCCAGTAACAATGTGAAATGTTGGTCTTCATAAATCAGGGCTGCTTATAAACTTAAAGTCTAAAGTAACAGAAGGAATCTAACATAAAACAGATGAAAGCTCCTGAAAATGAAACATTTCACTGATTCTTTATGTCATTGGTGCCACAAAGAAGTTTCTACTAGTTATGGATGATTGCTGACATTCACTGAACATCCACTATGCACCAGACACAGTGCTCAACTTCCACCTGCTTTTCCTCATTTCATTATTCCATTATTGGCTCCATTTGACAGATGAGGGATCGGAGGTTGAGGCTAGAATAATCTGCCCACAGTCACACCACTGATGACGAGCGCTAGAAGTCTTGATTCCAAGAGCTTTCTCTCCTTGATCGGCTCTTCAAGATGGAGAAGGAGCCTGGTGAAAATCAAGGGCATTCTCCGATTTGCTGGATCCTAGATAGGTGATGTTGGGTCAAAGATGACCCAAGGTCGGGTAGAGCCAGCTTTTCCAGTTAAAAGCCTCCCCCCTTCACTTTTCCATTCCCTGAATTTGTCTTAGGACCAATCTACACTTTTATAATCATAAAGCCTTCAATGAAGCAAGGAGCAAAGTACACAAATGCATAGTTATGAACTCAATCTATTTCCATTTGCACTTAAAAATATGCTGGGAAGTCATTTTTTTTTCCCCCTGTGCGAGCATGAAATAAGCAAATGCCAAGATAGAGAGTGAAGTAGATAATCTTATAATGACCCGGCTCTGTTTAACAAGGGTGCATCATTTCACTTAACAGGGTCTAATAAGGCAGAGCAGCCAAGGCACCGGGCTTCCCCAGGTCTGCAGCATTACTAATACTGCATACAATGCCAAATCTCCCTCCTGAGATCCCTCGGAGGGATGCATGATGTCAGAGCCCGTGTATGACATTCATCTTCATGAGTGAGCTGTTCCATCTCCTCTCACGAGCTGAGATAAATGTCAGAAGAGATCAGCCGTTGTGTATTACATGGCCACTCTGAGCATGTGGCTTCCCTCCCTCTGCCCTTCAGCAGCAAAATTACTTTAGACTGGAGCCAGGAAAGGATTCGGAAAGGTGTGAGGCTGTGTACATTGTAGGGAGAAGCAGAAAGCGGGAGGCATGGAAAAAGGAGCCTGCTTATTTATGTCCTTCCCTCCCGAGGATCCCTTTTACTTTCTGGACTACTGGTCTGCAAGGTGGGTGGGAGAGGGGAATGGGCTGGAGGAGGAGAAGGGGTTCTGGGGGAGGGGGAAGATGGTCAGTGGCGCACAGGAGAAAATATCAGAATTTTTCCTCAAATGTGGTATGATCTAGGTACTAAGGAAGAAATTCAGTTGTCTTAAGGTTTAATATGGGGATTGACACCACTGTCCTTCTGCAGTCCAAGATGCCTAATTATAAAGCAAACTACAGTAGAGCAATCTTATCCATTCTTCTCTGCTGGGTTTCCAGGGCTGGAATATGAACAACGCATTGCATTATACGTCTCTGGCTTTCATGTGTCAGGAAGCTGAGCATCGATTGTCAAATGGGAAGAGCTCCACACCTCCCTCATTCTTTTGCTTTTAACTTCTGGCAAGGTAGTTAAGTTTGCAGAAGCCTACTTCAGTGGATTGATAGACTATATTTCCTAAATTAAGCTAAACCTCACAATATAGACTGTTAGTTGTTGTTGTTTAGAATCTGGGAACTTAACAGCACAAGAGAAATACAACTTCTGAGTTCCTGATGATGTGCTGGAGACAGAGAAGTAAGGAGGTAAAGTTCTCTCAAATTAATACACTGGAGCGAATAACGGCAGGGGTGAAGCAAACACATCTTCTAGAGCAAATCAACTCAAAGACTAAAGGGAGAAATATGTTTGACAATCTAAGGCATTCTACAGTAGGGAGAGGTGTCCTGAGCTGTGGTTGAATAGAGATATACACATGTATCCTGTTGTTAAATCACATTATTAGAAATATGTTAACATAATGTGGTGAATAATTGTAAAACAAACCACGTTACAATGTAGCAATCTTATCCATTCATCTCTGTTGTATTCATGACTGCAATGTGAAAAATGAATTACATTACACATTCATGGTTTTCATGTTACCCCTCTGTTGCTCTTTAATCACATAACAATTGTCTTGTTAATGAATCTAACAGCTATTAACATTAACTTTGGCTTTCCTGAGGCCAAGGCTGTGTTTTTGGATGTGGGGCTTCTTTCTTCCATCTCTTTTTGGCAGATGCTTAGTCCCCACAAGCCTGCTTCTTACTCCCCACCTCCCAGAGGAACAGCCTCCAGGGAGAGTTCTACTCCCCTGGGAGAGAATACTGAATGTTGTGTTTGTCCAATCTCTTACTAAGCTCCAGATCCAAGCAGGCAGCAAGCTGGGTCTTTCATGTTTATTTAGGGTTATTATTTTCACAGGACACACGAAGGTTCAAAATTTAGGCTTTCGCTGTTTTTCCTTGTAGTTGTTGGCTTCTACCACTTTGAGATGGTTTTTAGTCTAAATCTCTTTGGAATGTGAAAAGATCCTGGGAGTTTCTAGATATGGAGGCCAGAGAAAAATTGCCACAGAGGTGAATGGAAAACCAACAAAATCGTAATATTTTGCTATTGTTCTAAAGAATATGATGAAAATACCGCCCAGATCCATATCCTAATACATCAAGGACTGAAGACTGCCAACTCTTTTATTACAAACTGTAAGTCAGCCCAGTTCCGTGTTTTGTAGACAGTACTTATCTCTATGGTGATTTTTGCCTTTGTGTCTGATAGATAGGAAAGGTCAGGAATTGGGTTGCTCTATCAGTGTTCCTGTCCTGTCTCAAAAGCCAAAAGGCAAGAGAGTATATATTCTCTTTCTTTTTGGTATTAATAACAATCCTAAACTCTCGAATGTCTGATAATACTTTTCTTAGGGTCCTCTTGTAATATCAGAAAGAGATACACCTTGCTTTATCCAATAAAACAAGTGCTAGCCTCTCAGTTTTTATAAGAAATTAGCAATGAGCTAATAATTAATTACATATTTCCTGCGTGTCCTAACAGGTCCTGTCCTCTTTCTTTCTTATGAATGTACATTTTTTATTTTCCATCAAAAGAAAATGCACAAATGAGCAATTCATGGGTTGGGAATCCATTTCTTTTATCAAAAGATATGGATAATTTAGATTTCATTTACAACTTTACAGAATAAATTGATGAAACTGGCTACCAATCAAGGTTTGAAGATGAACTCTAGAAATGCTCCCTCTTTTATTTTTTTCCAAAAAATCATCTTGCTGTGGAGGAATAGTTACTTAAGTAGAGCTGTCACATATCCACTCCCATCTACTTTGGAAAACTGGAGCACAGGATGAGTAAGAATAGGCCAGAACATCTCAGATTTTTTGTTCACTGGGATACACGGAAAGAGGTAAAGAACAGAGGCTTGTGAACTAAGCACAGGTTGCATCTGTGTAAGTTCTAACATCCAACAACAAGGTCTAAGGGTTTTAATGTGTTGATTTTCTCTGAAAATCAAAAGATTTCTTGGGTTCTACTGTAAGTGCCATATAACATGCTTATGCTTCTGAAGGGCAGGGCATTCACCACTGGGACACAGACGGATGGCTGAGGTTTCTCAGATCAACACAGAAGAGCAGGAAATTGAGAAAGAATGAAAGAGCAGAGAAAAGGAAGCTAGCAACACTCTAACTTACTTGTAATAACAGATTTCATAGCCCATCCGTATCCAGGTGGGTCTTCCAAGAAGAGCCTCCTTCACAGAATACGCAGTTGGCTGCATCCCTGCACAGAACAAAGGCAGGATTAATCACTGGGGAGGGGCTCCCTGGGTGGCTCAGTCAGTTTGGCATCGGGACCCTTGATTTCAGCGCAGGTCATGATCTCAGGGCCATAGACCGTGCATCAGATTCCAAGCCAGCATCGAGCCTGCTTAAGATTGTCTCTTTCCCTCTCCCTCTCCCTCTGCCCCTACACCCCACATCTTAAAAAAAAAAAAAAAAAAAAAAAGTATTAGTCTCTGGGGAAAGAGAAAAGGGAAAGAGAGCTGTGATGGACTGAATCATGGCCCTCCGAGAAATCCAGGTCCTAACCCCTGGAACCTATGAATGGTGCCTTATATGGCAAAAGGGATTTCATAGATGTAATTAAATTAAGGATTTTGAGATGAAGAGATTATCCTGATGGGCCCTAAATGCAATCACTTATGTCCTTTTAGGAGGGAGGCAGAGGGAGCTTTGACTGCACAGGAGAAGCCATGTGACTGAAGCAGAGGGAGATTGGGAGATGCTACATGGCCGGCTTTGAAGATGGAGGAAGGGGCCATGAGCCAAGGGATGGAAGGAACAGAACTCTATAGTGAGAAAAAAATACCAAACAAACAGAGAATCCCTTAGATGCTCCAGTGGGCATGGCCCTTCCAGCACCTTCACTGTAGCCCCGTGAAACTGATTTTGGACTTGTAACCACTAGAATTGTCAGAGAGTAAATCTGTCTTGTTTTAAGCCACTGAGTTTGTGACAATTTGTTACAGCAGACACATGGAGCAAATACAAGACTCAGGGTTCATATTTTCTCTTTCTACACCAGCAAGAATCTATTTAGTCGGTACAAAATAGAGGCAGTACCCTGTGCTCAGACCAAGAGATATGGGAATATTTATTCCTTACTCAAAGCCACTCAATGAATTAGTTTATGATCCAGCAATAACATGCAGAATTTTCCATTCCTGGAAACATTCAAAGTCAATGTGGGCTGCCAGTCACTTTGTCCCTTGAATGTCTCCTCCAAAATGGCCTCAGGTATTCAGGAGAATTTGAACTTTCCCCATATTTTCTGAGAATGCATATCAGTGTCATCCAATTGGATTGTGCTGTTTTCCTTTCTGGGACAAATAGGTCAATGTATTTGCTGCTGTGAGATTTAGGAGATGAAGAGAAGGAATAAATGAGAGGTTCTCATGGACCTCCAAAAGTTCAAGGTGGGGCAAGGCAGTCAGGAAGTAGTGGAATGGCAGGCATGGTATTAACATTCCACCACAGAGTGAGGACTTCCAGCTTGCCTTCCATGGTGGCAGTCTGCCACAGGTTGATGACCATCTTGTCACACATGGCAACCAAAACATTCAGCCCAACTTCAAACCCTTTGGGAACCCAAACAGGGCTTCCAGTAATAAGCCAATCAATCACAGAGGGGCACCATTCCTGGTGTTAGCCAGAAGATCTAGCTTCTAGAACTTGCAGAAGGTCTAGAAGATCTTGGGTGTTAGCCCAAGAGCTCATACCGTAATTAAACTGGCTGTTGGGCTTCTCACAGTTGATGATGTTGAAGCGGTAAGGGACGGCAGCTCTCATGCCGCTCACCTCAAAGTAGAACCATTGCTGGTGCTGGCTGCTATTCACATCAGTGTTGACCAGCAAGTCGTACTCCCACCTGCAAAGTCAGGAGCAAGATTGGAGGGCTACAAGTCTTTGAGGGAACATCCAACACTGAGAAGCTACACATCTCAGGTTCCAGAGGACAGATCTAAGACCTGGGATCTCAGTGAGCTGGTAAGTTACAGTGATTGTGCTCATCTCACAAAATTGGACACACAGGCCATAGAAATGTGGGGAGAGGGGAGCAGGTTCTTGGTATTAGGAGAATCAAAGAATCAATTACACAACCACAGCCTATCTTTTTATTAAACTGTGATTTAATAAATTAATAATTAAACTCTCTGGCAGGAAAAATACAAGTGTGCTATATCCCAGAGAAAATTCAATCACATCTGGTTGTTGCTGCACATTCCTTTTGAGGCTGAGTCTACTCGTACGGAAAATGGAAATAATGCCTAAACTTGCAGGGCTGTCTGTAAAGATTAAGTCGTATTGTACAGGTAAGCCCCCAGCAAAGCAACAAACATGAATTAGACAGCAATGTAGGAGTTGTGTGTTCATTTTGTCCCTTTTTAATTGATTTAACTTACATGCAATAAAATGCACAAATTTTAAGTGTACAACTCAGTGAATTTAAATAAATTCATCTGGACACTCCTGTTCAGCAATTACCCAGATAGGACATTTCCAGTGCCCCAGGAGACTCCTGTGTGTCCCCTCTCCATTACGATCTGCAAAACTAACCAATTTCTTGCACTGTAGCAACAAAATTAACAATGCAGTTTTCACTTCAACATTATTATCAGTATATTTTCAAAAATATGATTGCTCCAGCCCCTCGGCATGTTCTTTGAGTTGCTCCTCTAGAAAGGATGATGTATTTGCCCTGATCTGTTCACACCCTGCCATTCTGGACTCCTGTAAAGTGGTACAGTCAGATTTCTGGAAGGGGGGGCACTTTGCAGAAGGCATATCAGAGCCCAGGAGAGCTACCTGATGGAGACCCACTGCTCAGTCACTCTAAGCATCTCCCTTGAACCATTGAGCCTGAGATACAGCGAATGAAGCATAGTCCACCAAGTGATGCTCAAAAGGACAAATCCAGAAAGACTACAGCCCTCAAATGATCTGCTATGCCCGCCATCCTCTCCAAAAACGGATCATCAAAACTCCTTGCCTATATATAGGTTTGTTTTCTGTCCTCTGATCCTATACCCTGACCATAACTAATTGGTTTAGGATTCTACACTCTGGCCAAAGGCAGATATCTGGAGAGAGAGAGAGAGAAAGAGAGAGAGAGAGAGAGAGAGAGACCAGAGCAAGACCAGCAGGGCAGACACATCATGGACTGACCACTGTCCCCCCCCAGGAGACTCCTGCTTAGGTTTTCTCTCCTGGATCCCCAAAACATGATATATAAATGGAGTAATAAAAGCAGGCACCACCACAAGACGTAGAAGCTGAGCTGGCAACAGAAAGAGAAGAAGCCTAGAAGGAATGTTAACGGAACTGCCTTTCTCTTCTTCAGCCCATGTAGCTCAACTTGCATTTGTTTTATATGTCGGGCTTCCTTGAAATAGTTCATGTACAAAACAAACAAAGGAAAAGGATCACTGCTCACCTGCCCCCCCCAAAAAAGAAAAATTTCAAAAATGACTCCTCAGATAGATACAAAACAGGCTGATCTAGCTGAAGTTCTGTGCCCTGGCAATGGCGAATATGCATCCCTGAAGACAGGCTCATGCTGACTGAGTGTGCTGGGCACTATTCTAAGAGCGTGATGTGTTTTTAGCTAACTCTCATTAAAAAAAATCCCTATGATGTGGGTGCCATCACTGTCCCCATTTTCTGGGTGAGGAAAAAAAGGCACGGAGTAGAGTCAGGTAATTGCTTGAAATCTCCTGGTGGGAAAGGGGTGAGGTGGCCCCAGCATTCTGATTCCAGAGTCTGTGACCCCCCCGCCATTAACTGTTCCAGACTGCTGTCTTCGGGAGTTCACCCATAGAAGATGGGTGACAAATCCTGATTTTTGGCATATGACAAATAGAGTCCACACTGGTATCGAGGGAAGAATGATACCATAGCCATCTCTTCTGCACTGAAAATTTTTGTTTTGTGTCCTCTCCCCCTCTTTAGTTTGTACAGCCCTAGACTTTCCTTGCCTATGAAACACTTGTCCAGTAATAAGAGCTCATTGAGAGATTCTGCCAGAGAGGCATGGCATTACACATGCCCTTGAACAAAGAGTAACACACCTCTCCACGGGGAGCCCAATGTTCCTGCCACCTACATTCACAGCGATGGGAGCAACAGATGTGAAGAGGTACAGGACCAGGGGACCCCACGTACCCTGCTGTGTCAACGGAACCAGCCCTGGCATCAACAGAAGTACAAACATCCCAGTCCAAGGACTCCCGCACCCAAGGATGGAGCCATTATTTGGAATACAGTTGTATTCATAACTTTCACCTCTAGTTGCCACCTTGCTGTGACATCAGGTAGTGAGCCCCCTAGTGGTGGGCCTGTAAATGTTTAGCAGCGGACTGAGAGGAAAACCTTCATGTGTCTTGTTTGCCCTTTCTCGGGGTATAAACGCTCCTGCCGTGGCTGATTTCAAACGACTGATGTGAGACCACAGTATGGAGAACAGGGAGGAGAGAGGCACAATCTGCTACCTTCGTGGGTTTCCTTACTTACTCACGCACTTGGATGGCTTTGCGAAGATTTCCTGACTCAAACTTGGAGGAGAACCGCAAGCAGTCAGAAGCGGTGTCATGCAAAGGCCTGTAATGAAATAGGAAACATGTGAACACATGCGTTCTTGATATTCTTGGGCACAGCCTGACATTTTTTAGAGACAAGCTTTTTCTTACAGATTCTTGAACATTATTCTGATCGTGTTTCGGGGAGACGGGGTGGATTGCTAACATAAAGCATGCTTATTCTCATGTCGTTAAGAGGATATTCCATACTCCACCCCCATCTTCCATGTTCCACTGATGCTCAAGACCACCTACCAAGGCTCATCTAAACTGAAGACGACTTTATTTATAACATCACTTGGCTGGATGAGCCTCCGGACATCCTCGAGTATCTTGATCCTAGAAAGGAAAATTGGATACATTTTAAGGGTTGGCTCTCACTCCTGACCCCATCCATCTATGGTCATCTGGGAAGGGCCTTGAAAGTCATCAGAGAATTATGAAAGAAAAAATTAATAATGCCCCCCAACCTGGGGCTACAAGGGTGGAAAAAGCACTGTCTCTCTTTCCTTTTGTTCTTTATCAAAAAATGAAACTACACTGAGCAATAGGAATGTAGGATACACTGATGCCAGATTTTAGTTGGAAGATTCTTGACTTGAAGGGGAATTTTTTTCAAGAGCATTTAGACTAATGGATTCCAAAGGGTTTTGGTTGTGAGAGTAAGAGGGTCCTTTGCACAGAGACAATTTTTGAGGAAGGCTTTAGGATTGTTGACTGTTTGCATCCTCAAGGCCTTCGAGGCTTCAGGGAGCCTCTGAACTCGTGGGTCATTTCTATTCCTTGGGTTCTGTCATCTCCAGAAAACTAAGGTCAATCTTCTGTCTGAGAAACACCCATATTCAGGAAGTTTAAGTAAGAGGACAGAAGGAAGCCCGAGGGATCTTTCAGATTCCCTCCTTGAATTTCTGATCCATGTTTTTTGGGTGGAGTGGGAGAAAGAGAGGGGAGGTAGACATGAGGCCTAGACTCAAGGGGAGGATGTTCTGTCAAAGGGGGAGGTGTTGCTGGGCCAGCCCCTGTGCCGTGTCTCTCAGGAACTTGAGCATGGTAGACAACCTGCAAAGGGTAAGGTCAGAGATGTCAGCAGGAGCCCAAGTCTGAGCAGCTCATGGGATCCACCATTAATTTGCTGATGAAATGGAAAATAAGTTCATGAAACTTTCTGGTATGCACACTTTGCTCCATTGACTTAGCATATGCATACTCAATGTTTGTTTGTTTGTTTTCCAAGGAAAATCATTTTTCCTTGGCTTTAGCCATTTACATTTTAATCTCACTATGTTGATCCAAAGGCAAAGCTCCCTTTCCATCATTCTGGGAATAACCCACCACCCAAAGTTTCTATCCTAGAGAATGCATATTTTCCTTACAATCTTCAGTGATAGGGCAGAACTCTTCTCCCAGCCAAGCCAGGTTTTATAAGGTTGGGACTGTGAGATGGGGGTACACCACCTCCTTTCGTCAACAAGAGATCAGATGCCAATTTACAGTGAATTAAAAAAGAAAGATCCCAAATAATCCACACTGTTTTTTTGGTGGGTTTTTTTTTTTTTTTTTTTTTGAGAAACTTCCTTTAAGGAATGATCCCAATTATTTGGAGAAACTGGGTTATCTTTCCCTGTTATGATCTGCAATGCATTCTGGGATAAGGGATTGCACTGGAATCATCAAAGGGATTCTTTTTCTGGCAACACATGCCTGTCGCTATCCCACACTTGGTTCTGACATGTCCAGGGAGGGAGGCAAGCTTCTGTGTTTGGCAAAAGCTTCCCAAAGGATCTGAACATGCTACTGATTGATTCTCACTTTTCCTAAGATGGCAGAACTCTCTATACAAACCATTCTGCCTATTAAAGTATTAAAGACAAAAAACATAGCTTCCAAATCAGCAGCACCATCACCTTTGGAGTCCACATTTGCGCTCCAGCATTGACTGAGCAGAGGGAGGTGGAAGGTGACCCCAGAGGTCAGGAAATGCCATCCTCTTGAAGTCGGCCACAGATCTGGTTCTTCTGGCTTTGGCCATATAAAGAGAGGGGTCATGGAAGGGGACATGCTTGGGATGTGTCTGCAGAAGCTTATCTATTACTTCAGCAGTTTCTGTAGGCCTAGTGGAATTGGAGGAGGCACTCATCAATGGGCAGGAAATCACGTCTATATCCCAAGCATCCTGTTTGAGGGAAGCTTGAATGTCAGGGATTTCTTTTCCAGAAGAATCTATCCCAAGACCATTTGATTGCATGTTTTGGTATGCGTTCATCCCAGGGCCTTTTTTGGAGGCTGGATGCATGGCGGACCTCCCCATCTTCACCATATTCAGGAGGGAAGTCTGGACCATGCCTTCTCTTTCTTGCCCCCAGGAGCGTTGGTCCTCAGTCAAACAATGCTGCGTTGGGGAGGTTGCAGTCGGAATGTGGTAGTGCTTGGCATCCTGAGTCTCTTCAAAGTTCAAATCATCTCCAGGTTTAGACTCGAGTTCCTTCAGGTTTAAAATGGAAAAGAATGTGTCAGTAGAAAATACAACTTGACCCCTATCCTCACTCTCTGGGCACAGAGTTAAGCATAAATTCTGTGAATTAGGAAGCTTTTTCCAAGGTCAGACAAGAAAAGGCTAAGCTTCAAGAATCAAATGAATGGTAGAATCATAGAAATTCATGTTTGGAAGGGGCATTGGGTGGGTCTAGTACAATTCTATATAGCACACAAATGCCCTCTAGAACACCCCAAAAAGTTACAGCCTGGTTGAACAAACTTATTTATAGGGTTTTCATTACACCTCAAGGCAGCGCCTTTCATTTGAGGATCATTCTGATTGTTTAAAAAAAAAAAGGCTTCTTTACACTGAACTGAAATTTCCTTCCCTGAAATTTTTACCTACGGATCCCCTTCGGCTTTCTGGAGTAAAATAGAATATACTGCCTCCCTTCTCCATGGGATTTAGCTGGTACCTTTAGAGGTGGGCAAATTCATGACATATTAAGAGTCATAAGAAAATAATAGAGATCCAAAGTCATGTCTAAAATCTTGACAACAGCAATAGTAGTGGGAGCAGCAACTAGCCACTACATCACGAGGTGTAAGGTTCTCAATTTGTTTCTACTAACAAAAAACCCTGAAATCGGACTGACCACCTTCAGAAAGCCATCTAGTACAACTTGCCCACTCAATAAATCATCAAGAATTTTCAGTGCCTTTTCAGGACGTGAGGACAAGGCACTTTGTCCCCCAGACAATAGGTGGCGATGTGTACAGTCATCTGACTTCCATCTCGGTGCCAGGTGTCTGACTGTAGGTGCCTTGCATGCATCCAGACCAGCCAGCTTTTTCATATTTTGCTTAACCTTCTGCTTCGCTCTCAGAAAGACCCCAGAAGCAGATTGCTAATGATGAGCAATGCTCTCCATCTGGAGAGCTCCTGCTTGGCCTCTCAAGTTCTGCAAAGAACCTATCATGCATCACCATGGAGCAGAACCACGGCATATGCCCTACCTCAAAGCTGCAGGAGAGCTCAAGACACATCGCCTCATACTGCTTCAGTTCCTCTTCAGGTCGGTCAAGACCAGGTTTGGAACTCAGCTTGTTCACATCCGTTTCCAAGTCATCATCCTACAGCGGAATATCCAAATGTGTGTGTGTGTGTGTATATGTGTATATATATATATATATATATATATATATATATATATATATATATTCACAGTCAAGACAGTCACCCTGAGAAGCATCGAGACAAGATACTACATGTGTGATTTTTCAGAATCTTGGGACATGGTTTCCTTGCCTCCAAATTATAGTGCTAGCCTACGCAAAGGAGTATTTAAGATGTCGGGTTGTATTTTTTTTAAGATTTTATTTATTTATTTGACAGAGACAGACAGAGAGAGAGCACAAGTAGGCAGAGCAGCAGGCGGAGATGCGGGGCTCAATGCCAGGACCCTGGGATCATGACCTGAGCCGAAGGCAGACACTTAACCAACTGAGCCACCCAGGCACCCCTGGGTTGTATTTTTTTAATGGAAAGAAAGAAGGTATACAACTTTTCTCAGCATCCATCTCAGGATTTATCAGCCCCCACTGTAAATAACTAATTTATATAAAATTAGTAAAGCACGATATGAAAGAATTCTGTGTCTCGCCACCACCATCATCAACAGAATTGTAATCACTGCACCTATTCTTCTATCCCCCTTCCCATTTAGGTCCCTCAGTCTTCTCAAAAACATTTAGTGAGCACCTACTATGAGCAGGTACCATTCTGGGTATTGAAGAGTTACCGATAATGGAACAGCCAAAGGTCAATGTCCCAATGGAATCCATCTTCTATCGAGAGAAGGAAGACAGCAAATGAAGAAGGTCACTTCCAACAGTGACAAATGCCATGGATATATTGAAGGAGGCAGTGGGATTGACCCTGAGGTGGGGGGGTGTGGGAAGCTGTTTAGATTGTGTGAGCTGATGGGCACCTTGGTAGCTCCAGTTGGTTAAGCATCTGCCTTCGGCTCAGGTCATGATCCCAGGGTCCTGGGATGGAGTCCCACATTGGACTCCCTGCTCAGCGGGGAGTCTGCTTCTCCCTCTGCCCCCCCACCCCCCCACCCCCGTTCCTGATCTCTCTCTCTCTCTCACACAAGTAAATAAAATCCTTAGATTGCGTGAGCTGAGACCGCCTCACGGAGGAGGTGACATTTTAACTAGAACAGTGGGGAAAAAATCACCAGCAGAACAGCTGATGATGGTTTCCAGAAAGAAGATAGTTGCAGCACAGAGAACAGGAGGAAGATGCAGGAGTAAGCATTCGAGAAGGAGGCACTAGGCAGGGCCTTCCAGACCCGGGGGGGGGGGGGTTGTCACCTCCCGTTGCACTTTACCCCATTATATATTTATGTCTACCCCATCACTGCCAGTCTTTCTTCATTGGGCTGAATAATCCCAGACCCTTAATATTTATTTCTAGATCATCATTTCACAACAGTTAAATGGTGAGGGTGACTCTCCTCCCAACACCTCTGTATTTTCCAAAGGTTATAAAGTCTTACACAGAAAGGACACCAAGAATCAAGCAGTCCAGTCTTCTCATCTTTCCATGTCTCTCCTGGACCCAGCTTCCCTAATGAAGTAGGGGAGAAAAACCTACCCTGTGTATTAGGAGGATCTTTGGTTAGTTCAGGAAAAACCTAGCAGTCCTGAAGGCCTGGACTGTTCTTCTTTAAGTCAAATAAATATGGACAATAAATGTTTATATGACTGATTGGGGCAGGGGGAGGGAAGAAAATGCAACATTCTATCCCTCTTCTGGAATTTTCCTCCAAACTTTGAATTAAAAGAAAAATTGATCTCATGAGGTTGATTTCATGGTATTTTCCGATACAGTGTGCACCAGGCCCGAACTCCTTAGCCTGGTTCTGGAGATCCCAACATTCTTGTCCTTTACAGGTTTATCTATCAGTTCCTACTTGCCTCCACCCTCCTTGCTGCAGCTTCAGCCATGCCCCAGAGTGCTACCAATGGAAACCCATCTGGCAGGTGACTGGGAAGAGTCTCCCGACCAGCAAGTAACGTTGGTGTGCCTGTTGTGAGGAGTGTCATATAGCCCATGACTGCAGCCCAATGCATTCTCTATGTGGCTAGGTGACCTACTGAGCTTTATGGCAGGAGTTAGCTAACTATAACCTACTGTCAGTTTTTGTAAATAATGTTTTTTTGGAACACAGCCACACCCATTCATTTATGTATTATCTGTGGGTAGTTTCTCGGTATAACAGCAAAGTGAAGTAGTTGTAACAGAGACCATCTCTGGTCCCCAAAGTTTTAGATCTCGGTCTCTGAATCTCCAGGCACTCAGGTTGGTTTTCCCCTCCTTCTCTGTTTTTTTTTTTTTTTTTTTTTTTTAAAGATTTTATTTATTTGAGAGAGAGAGAGAGTGAGAGAGAGAGTGCACAAGAGGGGGGAGGGTCGGAGGAAGAAGCAGACTCCCCACTGAGCAAGGAGCCCGACGCGGGACTCGATCCTGGGACTCCAGGATCATGACCTGAGCCGAAGGCAGTTGCTTAACCAACTGAGCCACCCAGGCGCCCCTTCTCTGTTTCTTATAAATAACATTTATACTTATTCAGGGATGGCCCTGTGTCTGCGTCCTCATAGCAACCCAGGTAGGAGTCATCATTTAGGATTCTGGGACCCATCTAATCCAGATCATGCTTTCTGGCCCTTCTTCCTCAGATTGGACCTTTCAGATATTATTGACTTTCCCCAGCCTTACACTTGAGCTCACCACCCTTTCGAAGATGATGATTTGAACTCCGGTAAGGACAACCTCCAAGTTCACTAGACTGCAAACTCTTTGAAGATAAAAATCTATGCCTTGGGCGTGTGGGTGGCTCAGTTGGTTAAGCGACTGCCTTCGGCTCAGGTCATGATCCCAGAGTCCTGGGATCGAGTCCCACATCAGGCTCCCAGCTCAGTGGGGAGCCTGCTTCTCCCTCTGACTCTCTCCCCTCTCATGCTGTTTCTCGCTCGCTCGCTCTCTAATAAAAAAATAAAATCTTTTAAAAAGAAATCTATGCCTTGTTTGCCCTTGTATCATATTACTATCCCCAGGAAATTAGCCTGCTGCCTCCCACATGGATCACCGCCAAGAAAGTACCTGCAAGAAACAAAAAACTGAAAAGGAAGGAAAAGGAGAGGAGCAAAGGAGAGGAGCAAAGGAGAGGAGAGCTTGAAGTCACTCTGTTTATCCTTCTCCTCTTCAGAGTTTGTCCAAATCAAACAGCTGTGTTCACAAAGAATAAAAAAAATATTAAAAAAAAAAACACAGCCAACATCTGGTCTATACTTCTTGTAAGTTTCTCTTTTCTTATGTTGACACTGAGTTTTCAAAGAAAGTCACCCAAGTTTCCATTCTCAAGACCCTTTACAGACAAAAGTTCCTTTTAATCATTCTTTCTAAACAGCTGAGCCCAATTATTAACTAAGACTTTTCAAATGAAAAGGCCATCAGTTAACAGCCTGGGTCAGATCTATGACCAGAAACAAATATTCCTGGCTTCTTGCCCACATTTCTTGCAGCAAATGCTTCTGGGTTCACGAGGGAAAAGCAGTTTGCTGGAACGCCAGTTCCCTTGCTCTTTTGCAACACCCCAGAATCAAGCCCTGAGTCTGATGTGCCCTGTTTCTCTATGATTCACATTCACACACTGACTTCTCATCTTCTCCTTTTGGCTTGAAGGCTTTGATGAATAGTTTCCAAGCCCTCACCAATTTGTCCTGTGCTTCTTTCCCAGCTGGATTTGTTGCTTTGTTTGGGTTTCACTCCGCCCCAACCCACCAACATCTGCAGCGCAGTGGGGAAAAAGGAGAACGTCTGAACGCTCTCCATCCCGTGCAGCGTGAGTCAGGCACCAGGATGCAGCTTGTCCCTGCACATCAGATACAAGAGGCAACTGACACTCTGCATCAGACAACCAGTTATCAAAGAGCAAGGAAGAGGGTAGGGGAAAGTGGCATTGATGAACGATCGCCACAGCACAGTATTATTCAAATAATTCAGCGAGTACTCAATAGGCCGGTGCTGTCAAGCCACGGCAAAGATACAATTTACTACTGATGACTTCAGAAATGATTCCATTTAGCAACAAAACTCTGAGAACACTGGAGGGTCAATAGCAGTCTTAACCTAGAGTCTTAACCTAGAGGCTGAGCCATGGCCTCTATGAGTCTGCGGCTACCATCTTACAATAGAGAACTCAGAACTCTAGAGAACTCTCTAGATGGGTAGGTAGGTAGGAGGGAAGGGAAGAATAAAAGAAGGGAGGGCAGGAAAAGAGGAAGTGGGTGGATGGGTTGATGGATGGATGGATGACGATAGGCAAATCAATAGACAGATGATAGATTTTTTTAAATTCAGGTTTCATCTCCAGGAATGTTATAAAAAGTAGCATTTACTTCTCAGTCTTATTTTGCAGATGACAAAATTAAGGGGCTATAATTTGAGGGGGCTGGTCCGCGTCCATCTCCACCAGCAGAAACAGAAGCAGAATCACAACTCGGAGATATGTTATCATTATTCTGAAGCAGTGATATTGCTCCCCCGACAAAGGACACTTGGCAATTCCTGCAGACATTTTTGGTTCATGACTTGGGGATAAGGGGGGGACCAAGGGGTAAGTGCTACTGGCATCTAGTGAGTAGAAGCCAGGGACACCGCTAAACATCCCTTGATACACAGGATAATCCCCCACAGCAAAGAATTATCCACAGGCAAAATGACAACAGTCCCTTCCTAGAAAGGCAGTCAGTAAACTATGTCCCATTGCCTGTTTCTTATCAAGAAAAGTTTTCCTGGAACACAGCCATGCCCTACCATTTACCTATTGTCTATAGTTGCTTCTGTGCCCTAACAGCAAAGCTGAGTAACGGTGACAGAAACTGTAGGTCCACAAAGCCTAAACTAATTACAGTCTGATCTTTTCCAGAAAGTTTGCGAACCTCTGCTTTACATACCATGGGCCATTATGGGATAGAGACCAAAGCGCACCACTCCCTTGCTGGTCCAAGCGTACATCACGTACCCGAGTGAGCACAGCTCTCACAGACTGGGAGGTAAATGGAAGCATACAACACAGGAGTCCTGAGCAGAGTGGGTAGACAAGGAGAGTGACTTCTGGAGACAGGTGAGATCTACCAGAAAAAGTTTCCTAGGAAATGCTTCCATGGTCTCTTTGCCTGAATGTCATTCACACTAATGACATATACCACCCTGAAGGGTCTATCAAAAAGCTCATCCTGACAGAATGTGAGTGCCTTGGTAATGGACGACCTCTGACTTTACAATGAGATGTTGTTTGGGACCTACCAGGAGGGAAATCAACAATCGTAGCTGGTCATTTAGTGAGAACCGCTGCGGGCCAGGCACTGGCATGCAAGTACAAAAGTGTGTTTAGCTGGACACAGCGGTATTTCCCTCTGGGAGATGCCAATGGTGGAGACCACTAGAAGAGAGGGCTGGTGTACCTACTTGCTCTTTCATATCTTCGGAGTCTGAATCTTTATCCACTTCCTCCTCAGCATCATCTTCAAAATCCTCTGCATGGAGAAAAAGAAGTAAAATGAATGAGGCTTCCCCTGTGCCTTGGATTTGGATTCTCACCACACAGTGGCTAATACCACTGAGGAAGTGGCTCATTATCAAGTGCACCATATCCCAACACACTCTGTTACAAATCACATATACAGAGGCATGGAGAGCACCATTCCGTGAAGTCTAAATTGCCCCACGTCGAATGCAAAATGAGTGCAGAATAAAATGACATATGAATACCATTCTGGGTTGCCCCGCCCAATTCACAACTATTTATGCAAACAACATTGCCAAAGTTTGGAGATCACATACAGGCAAAATTCACTATAACTCAGCACCTTGACTGACTCCCTAATTTTAATAAGAAGGGACCACAGAAAGCACCCAGTGCCACTATGGCAAGCTGATGCTGATGGAAAATCTGTTCCATGGAAGGAGGGCAGGGTTGAAAGGCACTAGAATCTTTCGACACCAAAATTTTCACGAAGATTGAATAATCATACTTGCATGCATTTAATGTCACTAGCATGGGGTTGTAAATATCCCAAGTTTTATTTCAAGTTCATCCTTAAGGCAAATTAATTCCAGAGCCAGTCAGTACAGTAGAGCCTCAATCATGGGACTGCAAATACATTTTTTTTTAAATTAGCCGAGATAACCATACAGGCATTCAACAACCACCAGGCAAAATGGCAACAGTTAATAATTGAGAACAAAATAAGTGAGCTTAGTATCTGTCCATTCTGTCTATGAAAAGCTTGCTTTTTCATGCATTTTTCTAATTAGCTTCTTGGACATTTACAGTTAGCCTGTAAGAGCACTGATTCTACTTTCATCCACATGCCTCAGAAATATTGCCAACGTGCAAAACTCACCGTACAGCTCATCATTACCCACTGACTTTACCTTCGGTTAGAACACACAGAGGTTCGGAGGGGATGCTCCCAGGGACCGGGAAGGCATAAGCGCTGCTGGGTGTGACCAGGGGAAGTGGGCTCTTTGGGTAACACTGTCTGAGGATCTGAATTACGACGGAGATGACAGGCTCCAAGCTTTTGTCGTCCAGGCAGTTCTGAACAAAGAGAAGACCCTGTCAGATGCTGACACCTCACACAGGGTGCCCTTGTTAGATCAGTAGTTCAGGTAATGAATTACACCCATGGACAGTAAACATCCTTAATGGAGAATGTCTATTTGGAACATTCTAATGGAGAATTTGTCTAATGTAGAATCGGCTTTGGCCCAGGGCATAATCTGCATTTTTATTTTTATTTTATTTTTCACAGCTCATATGTGATTGGAAGGAATTTAGTCTGAAAAGAGACTTAAAAGTTTTTCAGGGGACACTGTGGCTAAGGGAAGACATTGTCCAGGAGAGCCAGGGGGAGAGGAGGGGAGCATCTTCCTTCTGCCATCCAAGTGACATTGTGAATTATTGCCTAAATTAGAGAATGAGTAGCCGAATTGATGGAAGCCTTACTTTCCTCTTTCAGCTATTATCTGAATAGAAAACCATAAAGGAAAAAAGATAAAATATGAAATCAGAAAAAAAACAAAAAGACTAAGTGAATCCCAAGTACCTAAATTAAATAACATGCCTGTTCTCAGAGCCCACAGTGTTGATCCCTCTTGGTACCTACCCAAAGCAAAGGAAAATTGGGTTTGCAGATGTAACATTTTGATACTGATGCAACCTGACAAGACCCTTCTTTTCAGACACTTTGAAAAACGCAAAAACAAGTTTACTAAATTAAGAGAGAGTGTTGGGAGTAAGTCGGTAACTCTTTGGCAAAAAAAATAGGCCATTTTCTTCAGACTCTTGGTAAATGCTTTGTCTACTGACGTCGTACAGAAAGTTGACAAGTGTGAGCTTCCAATCTGATATTCCTAAGGGGTTCCTAAAGGAGCTCTAAGGCCAACAAGTCATAGTAGTAGAATGGTGGATGCTGAGCACCTGCCACAGGGCAGAGGGACTGTGATGACACTATGCTGTGGTATCTCCAGGCCCACATTACAGGCAGCTTCACATAAAAAAAATGGAGAAAAAATTTAACAAACTTTTAGCCATGAATTCAAACTATCCAAATGATTTTTAAAAAAAGAAAAAAAAAAAAACCAGTAAGCTCAACATTCAAACCAGGAATGTTTTAACACAATCAAAATGCTATTTCCCCTTCAGTGTGCTCAAACGGTACCCATCAGGTGTCCTGAACCCACAGCAGGAAACATTCTCCATGGAAAATGAATCAGTCAAGGCTACCTCATCCCTGAGACTGGTCAAATGATTTTTAGTGCTTAGTGAAAAGTATCAGTACTGGAAAAAGCGAGAACTAAGCATGGGGGAGGGAGAGAGCGAGGGTAGATGGCTCATCACAGGTCAGGCTCTGAGCTTCGTTCTTCGGAGGCACAGAGCCAAGGACAAGCCAGGGGACTCTCAAAATTACCAGCATTTTGTAAGTCAATTGTGTCTGTGATTGTCACTGGTATTGTTATTGATGAATGTGACAATAATCCTGTGTTTTATTTTGCATAGGATGGTGCAGGTGAAAAGTCAGAGGAAGGATGGAGGGAAGCTCACCTGCCCTGAGAGGTTGGGCCACACTGTGAATCTGGGAGATAGACAGGATATTAAAATCAACGGAAACCAAGGCATTAGGGTTATAGTGAATTAGTGCCTAAATCAGGTTGGTAGGAAACAGCACAGTAGACACAGTCCATGGAAAACATTTATGAATTTTAAAATGATCCTTGCTTCCAAACGCATCTGCCAAGGTTTCCCTAGTGTAGACAGGCACTGTGGCAGGCCGGGAGGTGGAGCATGGGAGGCACTCCGGATGCAGATTTTAAAGGGGCCTCAATCCCAGCCTCCTGCTATCACAGGATTAGCACTTACGCTGTGCATCAAAGATGACAAGACCCCAAGAAATAGGACCCCTGTGAACAACTGTCTCAGAATTGGGGGCAAAGGTGAAAATTTCTGGCTCACTTTCCCCATCACTTCCAATAATACACCTGTTACTTGGAAAAGATGATGAAATATGACAGTGCTTAACATATTCAATTCACACTTAACGTCTTTGAATTAGCTTTGGAATAATAAATACACTACTTCTGTGAGACACGGGCAAGCGAGAGGAAAGTAGCTCCTCCCTATCCGCGGGTTCGCTTTTCCCAGATTTCAGGTGCCCGCGGTCAACCGCAGTCTGGAAGTGGATGATGCTCCTTCTGCAGTACCGTCAGAAGGTCGAGAGCCTAGTCCTACGTCCCAGGGCCTCACGTCCTCTCCTCACGTAGGCTGTTTATCAATCTCATATCATCACAAGAAGGGTCAGGACAGCACAGTAAGATATTTTGAGAGGGAGGGACCACATTCCCATAATTTTTATGATAGCATATTGTTATAATTGTCCAATTTTATAATTGTTGTTGCTGGCAATCTCTTGCTGTGCCTAATTTATAAATTAAATTTTATCACGGGCATGATTGCGTAGGAAAAAAACAGAGCAGATACGGGTTTGGTACTCTCGGCAGTTTCAGGCATCCGCTGGGGATCTTGGAAGATACCCCCCCGGAGGGGGGTGGGGGGCTACTGTATAGCACTCAGCTCAGATCCTGGAGCAAAGCCACCTGAATTCAAATCCCAGGTTGATGATCACTAACAGCATAACCCTGGCAAGTTGCTACACCTCTCTGTGCTATGGTCTCCTCATCTAGAAAGCGGAGATATTAACAGAACCTCTCGCATAAGGATGTGTGTGAATCAGAGTTAAAACAGGCGAAGTGCCTGCACAATAGTACATGCCCAGTAAGTATTTGCTAGCAGGATGTCAGCAGGCATCACGAAGCTCATAAAATCTCCTAAGAATCCGAAAGGAGATCCCAGAAGGCCACTGCTACTCAGCACAGAGCCCCAGTAATAACCTTCACGATAAGAAAATGAGACACTCTAGTGGAAAAGTCCAGGAATCCTGGATGTAAGTTCCAGTTCTCCTCCCAACTAGCCAAAGCCGTCTGTGTCTCTGCCCGAGCTCCCATGGGCTAACCCCCCCCTTCCCCCCTACCTCTCCCTCCCTCCTCCTGTGCCCTCAGATGCCCTCCTGTCCAAATGGCAGCCAGAATGGTCCTTTAAGGTCATAAATCAGTTTTATGGGTATAGAGTTTCGGTTTAGCAGGATGGCAAGAGCTCTAGAGATCGGTTATACAACAGTGTGGATGCACTTAATACGACCAAACTGTACACCGTAAAACGGCCAAAATGGCCAACCTCACATTGTATGAATTTTATCACAATTAAAAAAAACAAAAAGCATACACTGTATCAGGTCTCTCCCCTGCTTCAAACCTGATAGAAATAAAATCTGAATTTCTTTTCCTGGTCTAGAAAGTTCTTCCCTCCCCTTTCTCCTTCCCTCTCCTCCTCCTCCTCCTGATTCTATTCCTTCCTCATCTTTCATTATTATGGGCATCACCTGCATCATCATCAGTATAATTTGCAAACAGCCACCAAAATGACATCACTAGATCCCAGGTCCCCTTGTTGGCCATCCAAGGACTGCAGTGCCTTCTCTGGCAGAAGAGGGGGAGGACTGATGGGCAGCTCAAACCTCAACAGCTATAGCCCAGGTGCTGGAGGCTCCATAGGCTGGAGCAGCCTCGCACACAGGGCCAGTTCGGCCTCCGCTCACATCCTGTCCACTCCCAGCAGAAACTGGAGTCTGGGAGCTTGCTGTGAATTCATTTACTGAACAGCTGAGGTCTTCACTGACTTGTTGAGAAACTGCTTTTAAAATCCTGCTTGCAGAGGCACAGGGGTGGCTCAGTCAGTTAAGTGTCTGACTCTTGATTTCAGGTGAGGTCATTATCTCAGGCTCGTCAGATCGAGGCCCTGGGTTGAGCTCCACACTGGACTGCACGCTCAGGGTGGAGTCCCTCCCTCTCTCTCTGCGCCTCCCCCCACTCCCGCGGGAGCACTCGCATGCATGTGCTCTCTCACGTGCTCTCTTTCTAAATAAGTAAAATCTTTTTTTATAAAATCTTTTAAAATAAAATAATAAAATGAAATCAAATAAAACAAAATAAAATCCTCTTTGCAGAACCAGACTCCTAATTGTAGAGAACACATTGCTGGTCACCAGAGGGGACGTGGGTGGGGCAAGCTTGGACACAAGCTTACAAAGTATGGTGATGCTTGGAGAAATTCCAAGCACTGCTTCACCCAGAGAAACCGAATATTCAGTGCAGCTCTTTCCTGACGGAGAGGCTCCAAAAGCTGTGCTGATGGAGAGAAACCCACAGGTGATAGCAGACAGAAGATCAGATATTGTTTGCAGCCCAGTACGATGTTATTGTTCAGATGCAGGGGGGAGGGGGATGCTGTTTTAATAGGAAAAGTCTACAGATACCATGGTTGGAAGACAGCACACTCATTGACTGCTTCATTGCCTCGGATGTACGCAGGTATAGAAAAAGTGGACAGTGTCCCGAGAGGAGCAAGGAGACTGAGGAAGGGGGTGCAGAGAAGACAAGCTAATGTGAAGACAGCAGGGAGCCCGATGCGCATCAAGCATGGCTGCCGTGGCCCCAAGAGAAAGGGAGCGAGCAGATGACAGATATCTGGGAAGCCTTCACCCCCCCTCCGTAGAGTGGCTGTATGTAGCCTCGCACTATGGTGTTTAAATTAGTCCTAATCAAGTGCAATTAAGGACTTTGCTATTAGGGTTGAAATCCGGGAAACTAGAAACTACATATCCCACTGGGGTACAGAGAAGTTAACAGCCCTTGCAGGTGCTCCCTCTTGCCTGGGATGCTGTTCCTCTTGAACTTGGCATGACCGGCTTTTTCAATAATTCAGGTCTCAGCTTAGGTGTCACCCGCTCAGAGAAGACTTGTCCTCTCCAGCAAAACACATTCTCCCTCCACCTGTGGGAGTCACTGTGGATGGCCTGCCTTGATTGATGTCAGGGAGCAATATGAAATGACCTCCCTCGTTGAATTTTTTGCTCCCTTAGTGTCTGACTCTTCTGCTACAATGTTTACCCCACAAGATCAGGGGCCTTGCCTGTCGTATTCACCTCCAGATTCCACAGTGCTAATTACTCCAGTAACTGCTCATGCTCATAAAGCAGCCAAGTCATGGCTAGCACTCCATTAAATACGAGACATCTCTACGTTAACGTATTTAGGCCATGCCACAAGCTAGGTTTTATTATTTCCCTCTTTTCAAAAAAGAAGAAACTTGAGACCCAGAGGGTTTGAAAGTTTCCCAAGTGTAAGTGCTAGGGCTGGGATGTGAACACTCTTGACCACTGCACCACACAGTGTAGCCCATAAACACATAATCAAATGAATGAACCCATCACTGCATGAGTGAACAAACGAATGAGGGTTTGAATCCAGAACCTCTGCGCATAGCAGGCAGCAAGAAATATACTGAGGTCCTCACAGCTCTGTTCATCAGGAACCATCCAAGTGTCATCCAGAGGTAACCCCAGGGTTAATTACCTGGGTGGTGCTGAAGAGGATCTCCATGCCCTGGGCTGCCAGGAAGGCCTCCCTGCCAGACCGGAGGTTGGCAATGTGCTTGAGGCTGAGCAGGAGTGCCCGGCGGATCAGCACGTAGGTATTGGTGACGTCTTGGTGGTGCCAGTCCTGATGCAGCCGGAGCAAGCTGGTGACGTAGCCTCTGTTCACAGCCCTGCGGCTGTTAGACTCTGAAACCAATGGATGAAGGGATGTCAATCACGGGCTCTCCCGGCCACACCTGCCTGAGGATGTCCGGTGTACGTCCCTCAAGGTACTTATTACAAACAGACTAACAACAACTTTCCATTGGAGAAAACTGGCAGATGTCACCTTAACCAAGTGATCAAAGTGAACATCACCTTGTATGTTGCAACTGAGAAGGACACAGCATCACTTCTATAGTCTTCATGCCCAAAATGCACAGCCCGAATTTAACCATGAGGAAAATCTGCAAACCCAAAATGAGGGGCATGCTACCAATCATCTGACTGATACTCTTCAAAAATGTCAAGGTAAGGCAAAAAAAAAAAAAGGAGGGGAAGGAGAGAAGAGGGGAGGGGGAGAAAGGGGGGGAAGGAGGGAAGGGAAGGGAAGGGAAGGAAAGGAAAGGGAAGGAGGGAGCTAAAGGATTTGTATAACATGTAAGTACAATAGAGAATTGCAATTTAGATCCTGAGCCAGAAAACAATTTTTGTCCCTTGCTACAAAAGGCATTAGTGAGGCAGTCAGTAAAATTTGAATAAGCTCTATAAATTAACTAATAGTATTATATCAATGTATATTAAATTTTGGTAAACTGTGCTTATGTAAGAGAAAATCCTTATGTTTAGGGAATTCACAACTGGAGTATGTGAATGTCTGTAACTTACCCTTAAAGAGTTCAGAAAAAAATTATAATAGTGTTGGGGGGCAAGCCTGAAAGAATGAATGAGAGAGAGAGAGACAGAGAGAGACATTTCTACCAGATCTCCATTCTTCTTTGCTAAATCTCAGCAGACTTAGGGTATAGTCACTGGGTTGAGTAAATAACAAGACTTCATTTGAGAAGAAGACATTGAATGAGACATGATGGCTGAAAGGCTGTCACGTGTCACAGATGTGTTGCATGTTTTTCCTAGAGCGCATGGAAGCCAGCTTCTGGATTATCAAGGTCTGGCTCAGCCCCAGAAAGGAATTCCTCGTAGTCAGGGCTACCCAACAAGAGGATGGATTCTTTGTGGTAGTGGATAGCAAGACACTGACAATGTTCAGACGGCGGCTGGAAGTCCACCCAGTGGGGATGCAGTATGGGGATTTCTTCTATCTGATGGGGAAACGTAACAGAGGGCTTTCCTGGTGCCCTTCATATCTTCAGTACCGCAATTTTTCTTTGGTAACTGAAGGATCCTGGTGGAGACCTCCCATGAGACACACATCCTATGGGGTAAGTACATGATATGATACCCTGATTTTCCCAAGATATGCTTTAAATTCTCTTTGAGGACACACAGAGGGAAGAATAGTCCAAGATACCTCTCTCAGCACTTAACACATGCTCCTTTCCAGTATAACCTCCTCTGTTGGGCTACTGGCTTGGTGGACAAATGTGTCCGAGCCCAGATCTCTCCAGCAGGTAGCTGGTCACCTCTACTCCTGTGGGCAAGGTGCACCCCAGGACTGTAACCAGCTGACTCTCAGCACAAATGCCCAAATCTCGCAGCTCTGTTCTCACTACTGCATTCCTCCATTACCCAAACCGTTCACTCTGGCTTATGAGACAATATAGGCCTCTGGCCGAGTGTGTATGTGAGAGAGATCCCCCGAGCTGTAATTGGAGAAGCAAAATTTCAGCTCAAAGTCAGATTTTTCCCTAAGACCATGTAAGTGCACGTAAGTGAAAAAAAAATAACATAAAAATTCAGTGCTTTATTCCAGGGGGGTTTTCTCATATTAAAAGAATTTTTTTTTTCTGCGGGTTTCTCAAATTCTCAATTGTCAGGCTTGGCTGAGCCCCACTGAGATTTTTGACCCATTTGTACAGTTGGGTGTTTTGTTTTTTTTTCAGTTTTACAACATTTCATTCAGCCATGACCCTGAACTGAGAGTGATGAGCTTTATTTGCCCACTGATGTGTTTGTGGAAGGTTTAAATCTCCTTCATTACCTCCTTTACTGAATTATTCTTTTGCATCAAAAATATTTCTCTCCTTGGCTGGTCCCAGCCACAAAGCGCCAGAGTTCTTTACTGCTTAAATGAGGTTCCAGCCCATCCAATATCTGATGTTTAAAAGAAAATTGGGGATTAAGTAGGAGGTATTAGAATATCCCCTGCTGGAAAGATGCCAGAATGTGAAAAACAGTGCACAAAGGCCCTGTGGGCAGGGAGAGGTTAAGGACTTTTGTCTTTTATCTATTTTAAGAGTAGGAGACTAATAACGTGTTATCTTAATGACCTTCATCCCCTACTCTTTTGGGGGGTGGGGAGCTGGGGATAATGGAAAAAAATCTTTAATTGTCTCAGAGAAAAATCCCTTATCAAATCCTAATGATTTTATTCATGATTTCCTGTTAATCCTCAACAAGCTGCCATGTTTACTAACATCTAAAATGGCTACACCTCCTTCCCCGCCGACCCTACATCCGTCAATCTTTCTCTGAGAATGGCTTGCCGAATTTTGCAAAAGTCAATACGCATCTGAAAAAAACCGACAAGAGGGGATTCAGCAAACTGAGGAAGAGCAAATGTGGAGAAGAGCCAAAGAATGAAATAAGGGTCACCGAGATCCGCGATGTGCAGGAGTTCTAGGCGATGTGAGAGGGAAACAACACTTCTCCGAGGGTGGCCAAATAGCCAGGAGAAAATGTTGCGGGTAAGCTCAGGATTTGGAGCAGGAGAGGGCTCCTGGTCCCCCGACCTTCTTCAAAACAGATCAGCTGCACTTAAGTCTGTTTATGCATAAAGGGATTCCTCCTAAGGTTTTCTTGGAAAAAAATTCCTGCTCCTTAATTTTTTTTTTTTTTAACTTCCCAAGTAGATTGGTTTATCTTAACTAGTGGGAGGATGGGGGTGGGATGGACAGACAGGCATTCTGAGTTTCACATCTCACTCCACACTCCCACCCTGTCTCAAACACACCCTCAGTGCCCTTCTCCATCCTGCTGAGGTCACCCCTGGTCACTTTTCCTTTGGCAAATCCACAGACTCAACCTTGACCTTCCCTCCAATTCATCCTCCTATATCCTACTACCTCTGCGTCCCCAGATTATATCCTCCAGAGTGAGGTCTTCCCTGCAGCTAATTAGCAGTCTGAAATGTAACCTAGTGATATCCTTATTTTCACCCCAGGTATTCCTTCTCTGAGGTTCAAATGTTGTTTTTGTTTTTGTTTTTTAGTGCAGACCCCATTGATGCAGCAGACTTCTACACTCAGGTAAAAAGAAAATAATAAATAACTAGAAGGGACTATGCCAAGATAGCACAAGTACTTCAGGGGGAGGAAGAGAGTGAGGATTCTATTTGCTTTAGACTTTTTAGATTTGATTTAGGCTTTTCTATAGTCCTTATTCCCTACATACTCTACCATGAACTCTGCTAATCAGGAGGGGGGTAAAAAAAAAAATGTTACCTTCTGAGAGGAGGTCCATAGACTGTTGGTTGTGCCGTGTTGTAAATGCCTGTGGGCAGGGCCAATGGTCCCCCAGGTTGCTATCGCAACCAACACACCTTTTTCAGCCTTACCTCCTTCCCTTCAAAAGTGAATTACTTGCCTACTAACCCCCTGAAGGTATTTGAGATCCCAGTCATCTCTATAAAGATGTTTGTCTTTTAAAGAGGAAAGTGTAGACGCCTTCAAGATTCAAAGATGGAATTTCTCCTGGAGAATATTCAGCCCCATAACAGGCTGGTGGAGAAATGCTCCGTGACCCAGACTATTACACCTGCCAGCACCCCACTCCTCCGCCACTGCCCTTTGGCAAAACCAAAGGAAATTTCATCTTTGCTCTTCATTTACCATATCTGGGGATTTCATCAGCCCATTGAGGGTGAAGTGATGACTTCACAGTGATGGAATGGGCACCTGCAGCAGAGCAATGAGCCGAACAAATGAACAGCCACGGATCTCAAACGAGATGGACAAATTAGTGCAGACTCTAAACTCATCTTTCCTGTAGTCACGCATGCACCTGCCTGGCCTGGCTGGGCCTGCTTTCAGCTGTCTTTTGGGACTCCTTGTACCCGGCCAGGAGCTCCATCGCTTTCTAACTGTGTGGCCTTGGACATGTCAGTTCACGGTTCCATCACTAAGTCTTTATCTGAATGACAAAACTAATAATATCCCTGCCTAGGAAGTTGTTGAGAAAATTAAATGAGATAATACATGCAACGTTGATGGCTCAATGCCTGGTGTATAATCAGCGTTCAATACCTGTTGCCTATTATGACTGTCATCGTCAACATGATAAGCAAAATCCATTTATTATTCCAACTTCCCCCCCTATTGTTACGGACAACAGAATGCCAAAGGCTCAGGATGTGAACATATTCTTTTTGGCAGCCTCATTCAAGAACAGGAGCTCCAGGGTCACATAGCTGTTGATGTGAATTTGGGCTCTACCAGCTGTGTAACCTTCGTTAAGCTGATTAGCCAGCCTGAACTAGATGTCCATCATCGGCAAAGACTAATGCAAGATGAAAAAAAGATTAATTACAACATCAGCCTCACAAGTCTATTATAGGGAATGAATGCAAAGCATAACACCTGGCACAGAGCACGTGCTCAGTAAACGATAATCCCCTCCCCCATAAGGATGACATCAAACTTCACATACCTTTTACCAGTGACATTTGCCCACGGCAAAGTTCCTAAAAAAGTAAAATGTATCCAAGTTTCTTCAATCTCCATGTAATGACTTCTCTCCCCAAAATATCCACCAGCTTTACACTGTTGCCCATCTGTCCTTAGACATCCCGATACAGACACCCTGAGGGTCACACCTCCCACGTGTCCCATACAGAAAAGCCCATACTGTAGACCTTTATTGTTCCCCTCTCTGGCAAAAGTTACTTCAATTGGGTCCAATTACACCAACACTTTTCTAGATGACTGGTTAGTGTTGTAAGATTCTCTTAAATGATAATGTTCAAGAGGTCACTAGCCCACCCTTGCCTTGGATAAGGCATAGATGAGTAAGAAGAAACACAAGGATTCCAGGCTCCCATCACCCTTGAGAACAAAAATCTTCTTCAGACACACAGCCGACTCCGACATTACCATCTCAAGAAATTCTTGCCCAGGGAAATTAGCCTTATCGCTTCTTTCAGGAACTTCATGAAAATCCCATTCATACAAACTATTGACAATTCAGCTAGTCTTTTTCAGGATAGTGGCTCCTTCTCGGAGCAGAAGACCACCCAACTGGGCTGACCAAACTCCCATTTACTCGTCAGGGTTTGCTTCCAAACCCTCTCTGCACTGTTTCCCCCAACCCTGAGCAATTCCATCACAGACACTGCCTATCTCCATCAGGAAACCACAATGAAAGGTCCACTTTGAACACAGCACTCCCATTCTATAATAACCACCTGAGAACACCACCCTTGGAGACATTATTAAAACTCGAGGTACTGACGACCAATACACTTGCCTTTGCAACACATTTATTTTGTGGTCTTCTCAGGGAGTCAATTTAGAAGATATTTCTGGACAAAGCAGGCTTTTACCAAGACTTATAAATCATATTATATGAACAACGACCTGCCTACTTTGCCATTATAACACCAGTTACAATTACGGAGTATTTATATACTGAATGTTTTCTATGTGCTCAGTACTGGGCTAATCATTTTAAATGATTATCTCATTTATCTCATGAAAATGCTTTGAGATAAGCATTATTTTCCTCCTTTTACAGATGAAGGCGCAGAGGCTAAGAGGAGTCAGACAACGTACTGAAGCCCTTAGAGCTTATGAATGACCTCTCCATGATTCCAGTGGGGCTCTCCATCTGCCTCCAAAGCTTACATCCCAGACTGTTACTCCCAAAGCTTTTGATGATGAAGAGATGATAGTTTACACTTCTTTGTGCCCAGAAGAAGCCCTGTACCTATGACCAGAATAACCAACTTCTTGAGGAAGGTTTCTAAAAGGTTACTGGAGGTAAAGCCATTTGAACACCTGAAGCCTGAGGTGCTTGAGGGGAGTGGCTTTCAGCCACTGTTACCTTGGCTCAGCCCCTCCACCTGGCCCTTCCCCCCCATCTTCTCTGTTCCCTCCTTTGCCCCGAAATTAGGGTCAGAGTTGATTTTTACTAGGAGACTTGACAAGATTTAAAGGCCCCCAGAAGTGGCCCACAGTTCTTCAGGTCACTGGAGGAGATGTTTGGGAGTTTTCCTGTCACTCAGCCAGTGACTCCGCGAGACCAGCCCAGAAGTCAGG